CCCCCTCCCCTTTTTACCCCCGCCTTCCCCAACCCCAAAAATTCTTTTTGTTCCCGGCCCCCCCCCCCCCCCCCCCCCCCCCCTCTCCCTCCGCCCAACGGTGTCCTTCCTTCACCTCTTCCCCAACCAGACCCTCACGTTTCCCCTCCACTACGTCTCCGACCCTCCCCCCGGTCTCAAGCTTCGCCTCAAACTTATCTCCCGCACGGGCTCCTCCCACCCCCCACCCCCTGCACCCATCTGCGCTTGTTTCGCTTATCTTCACCCCTCGCTACGATGTCCAGTGCCGCGATAACCACTACCACCCTCACCTCCCCCACTGCCAACTCTTCCAGCTCCACGAGCACGCCCGCCGAATTTTCCGTCTCCGGCGATATGCTCTCCACCATGGAAACGCCCTTCTCCCCGATCAACCTCAAGTTCAACGAAGCCCGCACTGAATCCGACGAGCACGAAACCTGGTCCTTCCATAAAGGCGACATCCGCATCGAAACCTTCTCCGCCGCCGTCTCGGGCTTCCTCACCATCTTCGACGCCCTGGGCTCCCCCATCATCACCGAGATCGTGCGCAAGGACTTCCGTTGGAAGACCAACGGCCTGCGCAACTCCGCCAAGCGCCTCCGCGCAGACTCACTGCGCGACTTGGTACGCAAGGAACTCAAGAGCCCACCGCGGTTTTGGGCCCCCTCGGGCATCGAGAGCTTGCTGTGGAGCCATCGTATTTTGCAGTTTGTCGAGCAGTTGGTACAGCGCATGGCTGAAGACACCGCGCTGGAGCTCAAGGATGCGTGCGTCAGGGCGTACCGCGCCACGCTGGCCGTTAGACATCCGCAAATGACGCGCGTCATTTTTGAAAGGGCACTCGCACTTGTGCCGCCCAGAGAGAATTTTATTGCAAATCTTTCTCAGCATGAAAGTGCTACGGAGGAGGATCATAGGATAGCTCTAGTTGGGATGAAGGACTTTTTACGCTCGACTAGACCGCATATCGAGGCGCTGGGCACGTTGTTTGATATGGAGGAGATTGAGGACCCGCACCGATGATGTTGGGCGTCGGTTTTTGTCCTCAGAGGCATATTGCGTAGCTCCGCGGCTGCGTGCGTTATTCCTTTCTTTCAAAGCTTGCAGTTTTGGAGAAACTATTCAGACGGGATTGTCTTTCGAATGAGGCGCGATGTCCGTGAAGATTTTCCATGCTTTTGGTTAACCGGATTCGAAAAAAGTTGAGTTGTGTGTGATTTTTTTTTTTGTGATACTTCTCGCCTAACCACCTTGCCCACAGCTTCTAATGCATCTCATTGTTATTGATCTTAGACCCCACCACCGAAATCAAGTAGAACCAGGCTTGGGTCGCGCTCTTTTAGGACAAATGCCTGCTAGGACAAATATCTGCTAGGACGTACATCTCTATTGGAATTTCATCTACGAAAATTCATTTGATGATATGCCAGGAGGAGGGTTGTATCCCATAATGGATGAAGGGATGAGATGGACTCAGCAAGCCCCACACAAACAGATTGTTGCGTGGAAAACCGTTCCAACATGCCACGTCAACGACGTCAAAACCGCCTCCCCTACGCCCCCTCACCCTCTGGACTCAAAACAAAACTCAGGCTGCAGCCACTCTCGCTCGCAACCCTCGGCGCGTTGGGGCGAAGACCACACCACGCCTACCGCCTGATGCTCTGGGACGGCGTAAACACGTGTGCCTCGCGTTTCTCGCCCCGCGACAAGCTCCGAATTGGATGGGTGATGTCATTTTCCACGTGCCCGTCGTTTGAAAATACTCGGGCTGGCCAATCGGCATTGCCCGGCGTGTCTGCCGGACAGGGCACGCGACAAAGCTGGCATGCATAAAGACCCGCGTTTCTGCACGCTGTCGTGCAACGCCTTTTGGCTTGTCGTGGGAATAAAGCATGTATGCATTACACTAGGAACGACATCCCATTCGCTGTGCGCTTGGGCGTGGAGAACAGGCAGGTAACCGGAGCGGCGTCCAATCAACAAGACACTCTCGCCCGAATTGCTCCCACCGGGAATTACAGTTGTTCCTCTCGCGAAAACATTTGTGAATTCATCGAATTTTCGAAGGACAGGAAGGAAATTACCGCAATTCGACCGACCTCTTCACTCTTCGGACACGCGTCTGCACACCATTGCACACCCCCTTATTTTCCTTTTCGGGCCACCATGCTCCGACAGGATCCTTCTCCCCTGTGGCGAGACCACAAACATCTACCCTCCCAAGTTGGGATTCTCAACGCCCCCTCCTCTATCCTCTCGTCCTGTTCCCTAATTTCCTCGCAACACCAAGCTCAAACATGCGCGACGAGTCCAAGACGCGCATCTGCGGCGCCGCCGCCGCACTCTCCACGTCCATTCTTATCGGGCTCTATCAAACCGGCCGGCTCTGGAGCGGGCAATTTTCGCACCAAGTCCTCAGCACTCTCGTCGTCCTCTCCTGGCTCCCCTTTCTAATCCTCACTGACGCGCTCACACGCGTGCCTAAGTTTGTCCTCATCCCCGTTGTTCTCGTGTGGCTCAGCCTGGCCTCGCTCCCCGTATTCTACTACTTTGCGCTGGACCTCTTCACGGGTCACCAGCGGCCGGGGTCGCAATGGTACGATGCGCTGTGGCGCATCTACGCGATCCTGGGGTTGTGGATCGGGTTCGCGGTGCTGAACGAGCGCGTGGTGCGGCCGTGGTGGCGCACGAACAGCTGGCGGGTGTTCGGCGAGGGGCGGTCCGACTCGGTGGCGGCCCAGGCGCAGCGGCTGAACATGGACGAGCGAACCAAGACGCTGGACGGGATCAAGCTGCGCATGGGCGTCGCCGTGAAGAAGCGCAAGCTCACGCAGCGGACGTTCGACACGAAGCGGCGCGACGTGGCCGAGGCGCGCGCGAGCGCGGTCAAGATGCGCGGGCTGGCGGACAAGGCGCGCGCGTGCGCGGACAAGGCACAGCCGGAACAGAAGAAGGAGGCCGAGGAGCAGGTCGTCGCCGTGCAAGCAATGGTCGACACGGCGGAAAAACAGGTCGAGACGCTCGGGCAGGACTTGGCGAGGCTCGATATCGAGAAAGATGAGATCGAGGTGCGGATTCAGGCGCTGCAGCAGGAGTGGACCGAGGCGCTGCATGTGGATAATTATTCAACGTTTTATCGCTAGGCTGGGGGTCGCGGTCTTGTGTCGGCGAGTGGGTCTACTACTGGCACTGTTGAATGAACTCGTGCTTTATCTGACTATTAACTTGATATTACTGTACTGCACGGGTATGTATTAAAGGATGCCGAAGGTTCGGTTCGTATTGCTTGTCGAATGGCGCAAAGACTTGTATAGCACAGGGCGTGAACGTGTAGTGTCTGTCGGACTGTTGTTCTCATTTGAGGACATTTTTCGACTTACTTTTTTCTTGACTTGCGCTTTCTCGACAAGAAGGAGAAAGATAGCCCCGCCACCGTACTTGACTTCTGCCTCGGAGCCGGAAAGAACTTTTGTAAAACTGCATGTTCTTCCTGGTCGTTTTTAGATGTGTCAGGAAAAGAAGCTTTTTTAAACCACCTTAAAACCGCATGTAATATAACTTCGAAACCAATAACGTCAGTTTTTAAACTGATTGAGTACCTTGAGTACCTACTTCCTTTTTTTAAAAAAGGGAACTACCGTACCCTTCGAAGGGTAGGTACTCAATCTGCATTATATTCTTAATCTTTTTGCTTATTCAAAGCTGCTATCCCGGCGTTCTGCGAGATGCTATTGCCGAAAACAAGTACGTTGAGGAACGGGTTCTCCCTGGCTGTAAAAAAAAGAGCTGCCCTCGTAGGAGGACAAGCCCCGGTCTGATAGACACTATCTAGCCTCTTGTACGCTGTAGACCCCTCTTAACACATCGCTAATCGCACCCCCGGTCATTTTGCCAAATAGTGCGATACTGAGGTAGTGCACAAGAGAATTTCTTACTTTTTGCAAGTGCTCCACCATCGACGTCTGCCTCTTCACCCTTTTGTTTCGTCCATGAAACGCATCAGCTAAAGCAGAGCTCTTTTTCGCTCTGCGGATGACATCGCAACAACTGTTTTCCATACATTTACCACATTCAATTCTACTTTTTTGAAAGCACCTGATTTCATAGAGGCTGCCTGGCTGAACAGAGAATGCCTCATTACTTTTGGGAGCAAGAGATAGTCTCTTTCGTGCCTTTTCAAAACGGTGTTGATTGAAGGAAGTCATGTTTTACAGTCTCGGCTTCCGTTGGGGGAGGGGCCATGATGGTTTATGTCGCCATCGTCGACTAAACATGCGAAAAGGCTGACACGTGTAGGGACATGGAGGAATGGGGTGCGATATCTGCCGCCGTGCCCTACCAACAGGTCCCTGTAACTGCACCGTCCCAAGGGCACTGTACCCTTGGTACCGCATGCAGCGCGTCGCGTCCGCTTGCGGCATCCATCTCTGCAAAGTGGTGGCAGCATACTCGAGTATCCATACGCGTCGGGCCTTCCCATCGGCACGGGGCAAAGAGCAGCGGGACGGTGAAAGCCCAACGTCCCATACACTGCTGTGACTCTCATTCTGTAAATAGGATGTCTGTCCGGCGGCCACGTTGAAGTCTCGGTAGATTCTGACTGACTTTTTTCAAACGCCTAAATTTGCTTCTGTTTCAGATATTTCTCTGCCTGCCAGTTCAAAATTTTGGGACACCGTCTCAATCGGCAAATCCCCGCCCTCATGACGTCATGATCAAAGCTCACAATGCGCGCTGCTGCCGGCGCGAGCACCTGGCTCATCTCCAGTCTGACTTGCGCAAGCCGATGACGAGCGCTATCCCATAGATCGATGACACCGGCGAAGCAACTGCAACACCGTAACACCTTGCACATAGAGTCTTTACCGTATCCCTCGAGGGGTATCGGAGATAAGATCACGTGCAATGTAATAAAAACAAAAAGAAGAGTGCTGAAGAGATTCTTTTGTCCAACCACTCCAACATTCCACTCAAGTTGAGTCGTACCGAGTCCGTAGATAAAACGCTTCAAACATCTTCCACGTAACGACGCCGGTATCCCCAACCTCGGCACCAGCAACTTCCTCCCTGAGCGCCTCCAAGTCCCTGTCCTTTGCATCTTCTGCGATAGCGAGTCCCCTCACAGCCCTCGCGAACATCTCCGGCGTGACGCCATCCTCGCCCTTCAAAAATCCGCTCCACGCCGCGCGCGCGCCCCTGTACTTCTTCGAGTGAATATGTGCGACAAAGCTCCTGCGCAGCAGCGAGCGTCTCATAACGGTACCCCTCCCCATGCTGACGCCTGCGCGCAGGGGCGCGGAGAGCGCGGGCGACTTGGGTCTCTCCAGGCGGTCGCCGCGTCTCCTCCTCTCATGGACGTTGCCGGCGCTGCGGACGCGTGAGAATGCGACGCGGGTGGCGTCTGTGTCTGCGGTGGGGAGCGAGGCGCGCTTGCGCAGATTGGGCGCGCGCACGTGGGCGGCGGCGCAGCGGCGCAGCGCGGCGACGTGGTCCTCGAGCTGTGCGAGGCGGCGGAGCGCGGCGTGGCGCGCGTCAACGGCGGCGTGGCGCGCGGCGTCCGAGTCGGCGAGGCGGGCGCGCAGGTCGGCGAGCAGGGCGTCCTGGGTGGCGAGGCGGTGCGTGGCGTCGGCGTGGGCGCGGCGCAGCTCGGCGAGCTCCTCGTGCAGTAGGCGCAGCACGTGCGGCGTCGGGATCGGCGGCAGAGGCGGGGCGTCCGGCACGTCGTCCTCGCCCACCGGCAGGAAGTGCAGGCGCGTGGCCGGCACAGACTGCGTGGATACGTCCGAGACGGAGGAGGCGGCCGCGTCCAGCGGTGGCGGCGGCTTGGGCGGCGACGGCGTGACGCGGTCGCGCCGCCGTTGCCGCCGCGACGACGGCTTGGCCAGGAATGAGCGGCGCGGCTCCGCTGGCGGCGGCTGGCGGGCGGGGAACAGGCGGCGGAGTGACCGCCGGCGCGGGAGGGTGGCGGCGGAGGACATGGCTGCTGCGGAGAGAGAGAGGTGGGGGGGGGGGTTCATGTCAGCGATACCCTTCTAGTGGTCGAAATTTGTCGCTGCT